ATATATGAACTACCCTTATACACATTGAGTTTTAACAAAATCAAACAACAATAATTGGTTATTTCTTTAAACCCACCGTTGACCATCTTCAAGAAAGCCAGTCATCTATTTCTAGATAATGCCAAGTTGATATTTCAGTTTAAATAAGAAAAAAAATAATTTCTTCAAGTAAAACAAATGTCAAAACTCTATCTGACTGATTTATTGACTGATCAATTTTTGTGATTATCGATAAAGAATCACATTTCTTATTTGTCAGGGCTTAATCCACTCTAGGCTGAAGTCGATTACAAAATATTGTAAAATATATACAAAAAGAAAACGTCCAGACAAATCTCTTATGACTAATCACCACCATTGTCTCCCATTTTGACAATATTTTGTAATCGACTTCAGCCTAGCACGTTTGTCACACAAATACGACTATTTATTTTGACACCCCATAACTAATCTGTTATTCTACGTTAAAAAATGTATCCACCGCATAACTGGTCGTCATTGTAACGACAATAAATATTAAATTTAATAATTGTAAGAACCTGAAGAGAAATTATTGAAAAGAATATTCTTCGTTCAGATTGACTTTTAATTCATGATATGGGAATATTTCACACTATTAAATGTAGACTATATATGTCCAAACCAAGTTCACTTTTAACAGTCTGAAAAAATTTGGGCATTGGGTATATGATATTCATTATAAAAAAAGGTTTTTGTATTTTCCAATGAATGAAAAACGACATCGCTTTGTTTTTCATTTATTGGAAAATACAAAAACCTTTATTATAATAAATGTTGACTAATTTTGAAAGTCTGAGGTCACATTTTGGTCACAGGCGACGTAGTTTCGCATCAGTGGCCATGCACATAGTCCGGGGTTCGGTCCCCGGCCAACGCACTCCTTTACCTCGCTAAGCCAGAAATAATGCTGGTGAAGAGGAAATGTTGGGCATGAGGCTAGCAACCCCATCCTGTAAAATGAACACTGCTACAGAAACTTCAAGCCACTAACTTGAAGCCCTATATTCCACTGGGGAACGTGAAGAAAAACAAATACCTGTTTCATGGCTCATATGATTGGACAAAGTTTTTAAAAACAAGAGTTGTTCCTTTTGTATATAAACCTATGTTATGTTAATTTCGATTAATTTCCCTGAAGAAGTTCGGACCAGATTTCCGAACGAAACGTTGAAATTAATCATTTCAATTTCCATGAGATTTTACAAGTATAATTTTTTTTACAAATGTCTACTTCTCACTCGGCGCCCAAATATTTTGGAACTATTCGGTCAAATCTCGATCACAGTTCAAATGAATTTATTCGGGAGTGTTTATGTCATGTACAGAATTTTCAGAGAAGTATATTACATGATATTTTCTCTTTGTCCAGGATCTTCAGATAAAATAGTAATTTATAATATACTGTGTAGCAAAATGCTGTCTAACCTGAAGTGCAAACCAATCCATTATGATATGTCTCCTTTGTCTTTCTCAAGAAATACACGATGTTTGGTTGAATGCCGGTTATCCAGAGTCCAGGAAAACATTTAGAGACCCAAGGGGATAACTCAGCTACAGTTATCTGATGTACTGAGACACGTTACCACCAGTAATTATCCTTATTCTCAAGATTAGTAAAAACTCGCGAAACAACAGGTTGTAGACATTTCAAATACTCATGAGAATAAATAGTACCATTGTTGTTAATATTCTGGTTGACAGACACCTGGACTCATGTGAAAAATGGGCCAAATCCATTTTATCTAAATCACACCACCCTCTTCACTCACAACTCTCCCCGTGCATCTCATCAGGTAAAACCAGAAGCCTATATAGAAAACTATATGCTCGCACCAGCAAGTACAAAAACTCAACCATACCCTACTTAGCTCGTGTTCTGTGTGATAAAGAAAGCATTGGGCGTGACACCTATAATTCATTAAATAGTCAGTAGTACAACTGGATCTCGTCTTTCCAACCCACATCATCAATAGGTACAACATTTTCTTTCTTTCTGTTCCTTTTCTCTCTCTTCTTTTTCCGTTATGTGCTGCTTTGTCTCTTTCTCTCGCTTACGCCAGTTAATAAGACAGCTCCCACTTTTCTAACACCTTCAAACACTGTTTCAGCTTTACCTTTGCTACTGACATGCCAATGTATTGTTGTAATAATGAACTGCGGTTTCCTCAATCTATGTAGAATTCTATTTATTGATAATGTACTAACTGGATGCAATACTGTAGTAAAAAATTATTATTATTAGAGGGCATATTTTGTTAGATTAAAACAAATTGAATAAGAGAAATTATATATAATTTAATGATGGGGACTTGGCAGCAGGCGGAAGAAGAGAATGATAACAAAGGTTAGAAGAAAGGGCAGAATATTCGAGGTATAAAACCATCTCTGTCAAAGAGCATTGAAGGCGTTTAATCCTACATACAAATGGTGGCTTCAAGTCACAAACAACTTGTATAAACACAAGCCTTCTCTTGTTTCCTTGTCTCACTTGATGATTATGAGTAATTGAGTGCACCTAAGGTCTATTGAAACCACTTTTAAGATTTTTTAATTTTTTTATTCCTTCACGTTCCCAGTGGAACATAGGGATTCAAGCTAGAGGCTTGAAGTTTCTGTAGCAGTGTTTATTTTTACAGGATGGGGTTGCTAGCCTCATGCCCAACCTTTCCTCTTCACCAGCATTATTTCTGGCTTAGTGAAGTAAAGGAGTGCGTCGACCGGGGATTGAACCCCTGACCATGTGCATGGTCGGCGAGCGTCCTAACCACTATGCCACCGACGCACTTTTACAATTACATGGTAGTAAATATCCAAGTAGCCAGACTATTCAGCTGACTAATTCTACCAAAATTTACAAATACATTTATTCCTGATCTAAAAAGATTCACTGGTGATTTGCTTCCTTGTGGAATGCAAATTACTCTCACAAATCAGATCAGAACAGACGCTGTTAGGTGACACATCAGTAGAAAAAATGCTGGATAGCAGGGAACTAGTCAAATCAGTAAATAACACTCCTTCTGGGAAAACTGATGTTTGTATAACTGGTTTCAAACTGCTTATATCACTAGCTTCTAAGCTGCTAGTCTTCAAGCCACTTATCACATATTGTTATTTCCAAGCAAACTATCATTCAAGAACTATGAAATAACAAAATCCAAATAGTCGATTCCAAACAGACATTACATTGACCAAAGTGGGCGTCCCCTTCGAATCAGAATCCAGGAATACAAATTAGCTGTGAAAAGACACGATATGTTTTCTTCCATATCAATACGTGTAGATAATTATGGACATCAGTTTGACTGGGATAAGGTCGAAATTTTTAAACAGAGGAAACACCAAAAGTGCTAGGGAATTCCTAGAAGCCTGTTACTCAAGTAAATATGCGATCAACAAACACCATAATATAGACCGAATCTACCAACTAATAAAAAGTAAATCATGAAACGAGAAAGTTTCAAATCCAAGTCAACAAAAAAATGATCAATACAGATGTAAATGGACTACCAGTCACGAAGATGGTTAACAGGAGACGCATTTCTATCATTCATGGAGAATTTAAGTCAGCTGTCCATAGGGACCATGAAAGCTCCACAATTGAACTAACCAGCTCAGAGAACATTGTCTCAACTAAAGGAGGAACGGACGAGGATGTCAAATCGAGAATCGGGAAGGCGAGAAACACATTCCTCAACCTGAAACCAATCTGGAAATCTTCGTCATTCAGCATCAACAACAAAATTCGGATTTTCATTACAAACGTCAAGTCAGTTCTTCTATACGGATAAGAAACTTGGCCAGTGTGTCACCAAGAATATTTCCAACAGCCTGTTGCAGACCTTTATCAACAACTGTCTTCGCTGGCTCTATACTCAAGATCAGATGGCCGGAAGGAATCACCAACAAGGAACTATGGGAAGAAACGAAACAAGAACCAATCGCCCAACAAATATGGAGGAGAAAGTGGAGATGGATTGGACACTCGCTGAGGAGGCCGTTTTGTGACATGGCGCGTCAGGCCAGTGCTCGAGTGGAACCCGAAAGGGAAGCGGTGAGAGGGTCGTCCAAGGGTGACATGGAGGAGATCATGTGAAGAGTAGTTGAAACAGTATGGACTAACATGGATTTAGGTGAAAAGTACAGCAGAAGACAGAAGCAAGTGGATACGTGCAGTTGAAGCCCTATGTTCCACTAGGAACCCAAGGGAACAATAATAATAAGCTCAGAGAACATTACTAAATGCATGCATCACTATGCTGGAGTACCTATTATTTTGCTCTATTTTGAAGACACCAAGAGATGAAGTTGTATTCAACTTCGTAGTATAACCAAAGCTAATCTAGTTTCTTTCTAACCTACATTACAGTTGGCAAACTAGTTGAAATTTAAGTTTAATCATGAACGGGCATAAGACAGTCAATGAAAACTAGGGAGTAGTGGGGAGTATTTTCATCCTACTCTAGGAGTCTTCATCTGTATACACTAATGACCCCACCTGAGATCGAATACAGGACCTTCGGATCTGCTAGATCACTCAGCTACTGACACAGAACCCAATAACCCATCAGCTCTGGCTTCTGCCAATTTGCTACACAGCGTAACAACCAGCCAATACCATCAGTGGATGTCTATCATTACACTCAGCTTGATAGCCTCCGCTGGTCAAGAATCGCCCCTAGAACTTCAGTCAGTCACTGGTGTGCATTAGATCAATTTTCAGGCGTTGGTTGGTATGGATCTGATTTCTCTCAAGTCTGATCACTATCTGACATCATTTGGAGAACCCCTACTTCTGAAATTCCCCCAAACTATGACGAAGCAGTTGTCCAGTTCTCCCTAGTTTTCATTAGTTCTCTAAATGAAGTAAGTTTTTTTATATCAGACTGCGCGTAATGCATACCTATGAATGAGAATTTGATTATTGCTCATTTGCTTACAATATTCTTCTTTTTTTTTCCTCCTGTCCATTCACACAGAAACGTCGATGCAGTTGGACATTTACTAAAGACATTACCAATGAATTTCAATCTGGTTTAAAAAATGTCTCTAGTGCTTTACACTTAGACTGTACAAGTTTTGATTTATTACATAAAATTAAACAATTCAGAGAGAAACCATCTGTACTTGAATCATTGTCAATGACAGCCTTACCATGTCTAGTCCCGCTGAGACCACGTATCCGATCAGATGCTACAAATGATATGACCGCAATCGATGAAGAATTCATTGAAAGACGATATCATCAAAAAATTCATTCAGATTTTATTCATCCGACAAAACTGTCTGAATTAAAACGTAACAGTATGGTAGCTATTGATAAAAGTTTATCTATCCTGGGAATTCAAACGCATATTAGACAAGTGAAAAGTAATTTAAACTTACCAAATGTATAATTTGTTTGTCTAAAAAATTATTAACGACAGTTTATTCTCATTTTAATTACTACTTATATTACAATGCATAATATTGTAAATGGGCCTAAAGTATCCTTTATCATAATCAACATCTATATATATATATATAAGAATCAATTACAACAGCAAAACTTGTACATGAATAAAGTCACAATTTCTTTCTAATCATTATCTCATACATAGTCTTATCGATATTGTATACAATTTCAATAATGAATTATTGTTTTTAAAACAATATTCATTGAAACATTGAATAAACCAATTTCATATTCACTATGATCAACAACTAAATTTTTGTTTTTGGTGTATTTTTATTTACTGTAAATAAACTTTAAATACAATTTGTTTAAAAGTGAATTTAGACATTTCTTCTCTTGATTTTCCTTTTATTTATGAATGGGTTCTGTAGTAATGTAACAACAGAAGACAAGGGCCAGGCAACAGATCAGTTTTATTACGAAAACCAACAGGTATTTATATGTATTTTACGTACATTAATAAGGCTCTGCCCGCAGAAAGAAGGCGGTCTTCTGATTGGTTGATTGCAAACAAAATGCAGTCTTCTGCTTTCTCGTTTTCAATATTTCTCGGAAATGCGAGCCACTTGTCTGTGAATCATATTTGTCCACGTCTAGGTCAGCTGTGATCGGTTGTTGAATCAGCCTAGATTAATTTCCACCAATCAGCGTAGATCAATGTCTACCAATTGGCTAGCAGCTTGCTCTCACCACAGTAATACTTGTTGAATGAGGTGAATTGTTGGATGGTGACTAGTAGTGGAATCCAGGGTGCGCATTTCGTCCTATCTGGGACTCGTCATCTGGCTGGATGTACTTGCATCCCTCAGTGTGATGATGTTCCCGCCGAGGATTAAACCCAGTGCCCATAGTTTCAAACGCCAAAGCGTTGCCCACTTGAACCACTTGGGCCACGAAAGCTACCCCTTGTGCAACGGGTCATATTATTTATTTGATTCAAGATTTTCCCGTGGATCAATTGGACCGAAGTGCTCGGTGATTCACAATCAATGGTCGTTTAGGGGACTTAACTAGGAAGGATCAGTAACGGTACAAAATATCAGAATTAAAATCCAAGTTAATAAAAGAATATTCAGTCGGTACAATGTAGACATACAGATAACGAGTTATAAAAGTTAATGATGGGAACTTGAAAATACAGTTATAGTCCGCTGCTACAAATTAATAATATAATCTACAGATCTGTTTCACTGCTGGGATCGTGTTCACTCGTAGAAGTTGTCTGCCGTTTGTTGAATAGTCTTTGGAGGATGATGAAATGTTCCTGAGAACTCCAAAGAATACAACGCTTGTGTTGGCGCAGCAAGAGGGCAGCAGGAACCAGTGACAATACGAATTGACGGACGGCGCGTATGCCAAAGTTATATATATATTAGATGGTTGGAGGCAATTGGCAGGAAGCCTTGGATCTAAGTTTCGTGCTATTTGGCACTCACCAGTCAGCAAGGTGTATCTGCGACATTGAAGGAACTCATTTCACTTCTGAGATTCGAACCGGCGTCACCATGATAGTGAGCTAGAATGGTGGCCACGTTGCAAACCTGACTGATAGAATTAAGTCTACACCAAAGAAAGGACTAGACGCATCACACTAGTTACTAGTGTCCAATCAAAGGCAAAGTTTATACATAAATATATATATATATATCATAATAAAGTGGTTTTAAATAAATGCTATTTACAGTGTGCGCATTTGTAACATGTGAAAAAAATATGTGCAGTCATACTGTTCAGGTCTCCACAGTCGGCCAGCGCCGGTGGTTCAGCAGTAGAATTCTCGCCAGTCACATATGTCGTCCGGCTTTCGGTTACCGGCTAGTGCATCCCTTTATCTTGCTAAGCTTATGGTAATCCCAGTGAAGAGGAGATGTTGAGAATGAAGTCAGCAACCCCACCTCTTGAAACGAAAACGATTGCTAGCAGGGCTTCAAAGCAGAAATCCTAAGGAATAAAATAAATGGTTGGTAAACTCAGAATGTGTATTTCATCCAACTTGAAATTTATCAGCTGAGGATACATTAATCGGATGTTATTCACACAGAGAATGCAGTATTTCAAACACTTATAAATCACTGGCCTTCTGATACAGATACATCAGAAGCACATATTGTATTCTACTGATAATCTCAGCCAATTATAGTGTAAAGGACAGAAGACAAGGGACAGGTAACAGATCGTTTATTGAGAAAATCAACAGATATTTATAGATTTTTATGTACATTCGTCTTCTTTATTGTTAGCAGAGAAGCAACGTCTTCTGATCGGTTGTTTTCTTGCTGAAGGTTATTGTCTCATCTCTTTGTGGCCGGTTCTTAGACAGTCCGGTCATATATCTGCGAATAGTATCTGTCCATGTTAAGTCTGCTGTGATTGGTTGGTGTGTTCCTCAAGGTTAGGCTTTGTTCTTGAACCCGACTCGAGACGTAGACATTGACGTAAATTGTTGCTTACATCTTTGGCTTGCAGACAGCTCTCACCACAATAGGATATCAACAAAAAAATTCCTCATAATAAATAGACATTCATAGAACAAATGCATGTATAAAACTGCAAGTAGTTACTTTGGGTCCGATAAAATCAATAGAGAATCTGAAGTGGTAATAAGTGGCAGTCGAACACTATCAGTTTTTAGGACTTCTATAGATCAGGAAATACATGACTAGTAAAATAAGATATGCTACCACCTAAGGTTAATAAGTATCGAGAGTATTTTATTCTATAATTTTCCGCCAAAAATTTGTTTCGTATCAACAGTATAAAGGACTCGAAAGTGCAACAGCAAACTGGATAAGATCTTTTCCACTAGTATGCATTTGTTCGAAGTCTGACCACGCATTGGTCATAGATGTCTACGATCTCTTTCTCAAGTTAGGTGGCATAATAAGGTAAGTAATGTTGACTTTAGGCGTAGAGTGTTGGGCAAAGAGGGAAAATCAATCGAAGAGGCAATAAAGTTACATGGATTGAGATGGCTAGTTCACGTGCTGCGCATGCCTAGCCACCGCCTCCCCCGACGGACGGGCATTACTAGCTGATATAGGTGCAGGTTGGAAAAGAGTAAGTGGTGGCCAAACAAAAACATGGCACCAATCCATGAAATCCTTGACAGTTAAACTGGGTCAGGTAAGGAGATGCAGACTTCCGGGTTGGGGCCCGCCCTCGGGACTCTAAGAATCAATGGCTGGAGACAATAGGTGACATGGCTCAAAATCGTTGTCAATGGCGCAGATGTATTCAGTCACTTTAATCTTTCATATCCCTTTCTACCATTACTCATTCTGTTTCACTCTTATACTTGTCAAAACTCTATTGATTCTCTTCACTCATTTTCTTGTCTACCTTTGTGTGCTATTTGGAACGTGGCAACTCGAACTGCTGCACTTCGGTGCTAAGTTCTATGTCGAATCCAGCAGCAGCAGCAACGCATTGGTATCAGTAAGGGAACCACTGGAAATCAGGGGATACTCGACTGCTGTTTCGTCCTAGTTTGGAACTCATTGTTAGTACACACCCAATGGGTTTCGGACGCAGTAACTTTCTGTTATAAGGTGAGCTTGCAGATATTTCAGCCACTGGGACGGGGACCAGTGGCCCACGAATTTTCAGTTCTTAAAATAAATCGACGAAATAAATAATCTACTTAAATAATCTGTTGAATATTATCTATAATATAAAAAGGAAGAAACTATAAATATATAGAAACAGAAATCACTCATATTTTACCTCATCATATTTATTGATTTCCCTGAACAAATTCGTAATTCTTATAGTTCCAAACAAACTATTGAATCGAAATTTTGTCTAATGGTGTAAAACTAGGGAGTCATCTAGAAGTTAAAATACGCCAAAGCAATCAGAAAACAAACTGATTAGTAAAACAACAGTCGCAAAGTAATTAACATGCAATCCTTACTGTAATTGGTAAAGACAGTAGTGCACATAAAATAGAATAGCTACTGCACAACAGCAATGAAGAAACTGCAAGACACTTATTTTTAAACTTCGGAAGAAACACCTTTTGATCAAGGGAAATCAATGCTGCAAACGAATTAAACAAGGGTAGCTGGAAAGACTCCCATTTCGTATGTATGATAGATTCGACAGTGACAGTGCTTTTACTAAACTCTTAGGTGTCGGCTTACATTGATTTGACTGATTTCAGTTCTGATCACGATTAACTCCAGTTAGAGATCCATGGAAAACCAAGGAGTACTGGACAGTTGTTTCGCCCTTGTTTGGGACTCTTCTACAGTACACACCGATGGTCCCACCAAGGATCGAACCCGGGACATTCAGGTTACAAGTAAGAGGGCTCTCGAGCTGTTGACACTGCATACTGTCCTAGTCTCCCAAGAGACTGAGATGAGTGTGTTCGGTTCTCCTGAAAACCAATGTAAAGCTACCCAGTCAATTGACGTATCACTGCGTAGATTTTCGCCTTGTAACATGAAATACGTGTGTCCAGTCCCTGGCAGGGTAACGAGCGCCTACTGATGAAGACTCCAAAACAGTGGATAAACAGCTGTCCAGTACTCTCGGGTTCTCAATGCTTCAAGAAGTGAAATCAAATGGTGATCAGAAAACTCTCATTGTATTTGGAAAATATTTTTCCAGACAGTACAAAACTCTCAGCGTGTAACACTCAGAAATTGTTACTTTCTGCACATTAGTTTCATTCGGTGGACAACTTATCACTCCAAAGCTAACCTCTACCAATTATCAGTTTTCCTTTTCCCTGTATTTAACAAGTGCATATGAAATTAAGCTGTAGGTAAACTGTACAATCTGAGAATGTGAACGAATGATGAAAATAATGTCTGAAGAAGTAATTGTGGTACAGTGGATAAGAAAAATCACTCAGTAGTCCAAAGAATATAAAAAATGTTAGTAAAAGAGAAGAAAATTATAGAGGTGGGAAGACACACACTTACTTGAAACTTCTCTAGACAACTGAAATATTCATTTAAGAGGATCTAGTTCAGTTTCATATATACAAAAGTGTTAGTGAACTTAATATGACTGACTAACTGGTTTCAAAGTAGAACTTTGCACAGAAGTGGAGCAGTTCGAGCTGTCACACTCCCTCCTTGTAGCACACAAAGTAAGAGAAAAGAGAACTCAGGGCATCCTATCGAATT